AGCGAGTCAGCGACTGAAGGTTGTCACAATATTGTGGGTCACTCAGTATAATGGTCCCTAGGGGATGAGGTTATGAGCCCACTGGCTAAGCATGGTACAGTAGATAACGTGTCACTCCAGTTGTCCTGCTTGGACAGTCTCAGCCAGTGAACTGAGCTTTACAGATGAAAACTACAAATCACTGCCACAGCAGGGTTTGAAAATACATAGTCAATACAAAAATACAATGGGCTAAAAATAGCTTGTACATAGAAAGTACCTATTGAAATAGAAAATTGAACCCTAAAGTGAGGTTGAGAACAGTTGTATGGCTCACTTAATTCACTAAATAACTTGTAAGCTAAACCTTAGTACAGGGTGTCTAACAAGCCTGTTACATCCACGCCTACATCGTGGTAATGCGTCCCGCATTTGAACGTGTACTACTTGACTGATAAATACAAAAATAACATAGCTTTACATGAGAAAATACAATAACAACAATGATTGAAAATACAATACCACAAACACTTTGCAAGGCAAGTGTAATAATTATTTGTAAACATAGAACATGGAAATACCTCCCCTACAACCACGTCCATATAATAATTTAAAAACAATGACTACAAAAGCGTGTAAAGTTATGTAGAGCTTATGTAGAGCTATGTAGAACTTATAACATGTACCTATCAAAATATGTATTACAAACATCCTAACATCCTGTAACCCTTCTTTCAGGAAAAGAGTATTCAAGTTTTGTTTGCTAATCTTGCAGAACGTCTTGGAATGAACTCTTTGTGCTCCTGAATAGTCTGGATTTTCCTCAGGTTATCTGGTATCTTTTTAATCTCTCTTCTATGTACAATTTTCTTCTCCCCAGTCTCTGACTGCAAAGTGTATGTTTTTGAGTCCTTTATGCCTACAACTTTGAAGACTTCATTTCCAAACTCATCTTGAATCTTGTTCCTTCCTAGTAAGTGCTGCTTCACAATAACATTGTCTCCTAAGTGGATTTCATTTCCCTCATATATCTTTACATCATGGAGCTTCTTTCTCCTGTCTGCCTCCTTTTGAATCTGTTTGTCAGCCTGTTGAAAAGCCTGTTTCAAGGTCTGCTTATGCTTCTCCACCCAATTCTTGGTTCCTCCTATAGGACTGACATCTATGTCATCAGTTCCTGCGATAATGTCTACAGGCAACTTTGGATGACGTCCAAACATTAAATAAAACGGACTGAAACCTGTGGATGTGTGTGGAGTGTAGTTGTACTTCGCTACAATTCCATCAATGAAGTCTGGCCACTTGTGCTTTTGCTCAGCTGATAGCGTCTTCAAGAGGTTATGTAGCGTCCTGTTGAAGCGCTCCGATTGGCCATTTCCTTCTGGATGGTATGGTGTAGTTTTAGATTGTTCAATTGAATACAGATTGCAGAGTTCATGGACTACTTTACTCAGAAAGTTTCTTCCTTGGTCCGTGTGAATACGGGATGGAATACCATAATGGTTGAACCAGTTTTTCACAAGGGCTTTAGCCGTTGTCACTGCTTTTTGGTCTCTAGTAGGTACTGCAAGTGTGTATTTTGAAAAGACATCAGTACAAACTAAAACATTTTCAATGCCATTTGACGCTTTGTCAAGGAGAGTATAATCTAAGCACAGAAGTTCATTTGGTTGTTTTGCTGTGATTCTTCCTAAAGATATATGTGTGTTCTTATATGGCATTTTTCCATGGATACAGCGCTCACATGTTTTAATCCAATTTCTGATTTCATTTTGCATATTGGGCCAAAAATACTTATTCTCAACCAGTTTATAGGTTCTTTCCCAAGCTTGGTGACCACTCATATCATGAACTTCTTTAAGTACTCTTTCCCTGAGACATTTGGGTGTTACTACTTGAGTGACAGGAAGTTGTTTACTGGTTTTGATGGTTCTGATCAGTATCCCTCTCCTAATGCTTAGTCTGTTGAAATGTTTTAGTATTCCTTTTTGATCCTTGGACAACTTCTGTCTTAAGGCTGCATTTGGTATTTTCTTCTTTCTTACAAGGTTCTTCACTCCCCTAATCTCCTCATCTTCATCTTGAAGTTCAGCAAACCCAGGTTCTGTTATTGTTGGAAAAGGTGTGCTCCATGCAGAAGACTCTTTCTCTTGATCACCTCCATTAGATTCATGATCCGCTTCACAGGTCACCTGTAACGTTTGGACGGATGGTGTCTGGGCAGCACATACATCAACCCCTGTTAGATTTGAGATTATCGGAACATTGTTCAGCTCAGGAGGTAGAAATGTTGTGCCCGTACATTTCTCTATAGAAAGGAAAGTGGCACTCGTCACAAAGTCCTCTTCTCTGTCCTCTTCAACAGGATTCCTGAGTCGAGATAAAGCATCGGCTGATTTATTTGAAGCGCCAGACTTGTATTTCAACTCAAAATTAAATGGAGCCAATTCAGAGACCCATCTCTGCTCAACTGCTGGCAGTTTTTTTACTGTCATAATGTAAGTGAGGGGATTATTATCTGTATAAACTGTTACAGAAGCCCCCAGGAGGTAGTCTCTAAATTTTTCAGCCATTGCCCATTTTAACCCAAGCAACTCCAGCTTCATGCTTGAGTAATTCCTCGAGTTCTTCTCTGCTTTGCGTAGTGATCGGCTTGCACAGGCAATAATACGCTTTATGCCTTCCTGTTCTTGGTAGAGTATGGCGCCAATCCCCATCAGGCTACTGTCCACTTCGAGGATAAATGGTTTTGCAAAATCTGCAAATCCCAAAATTGGGGCGTTGATAATCTTCTCCTTGATAGTGTTGAACGCAGTCTTACATTCTGGATTCCATAGGTCTTTGATTGACACATGTTTTGATTTTCGCTTGCTGACTTTGCCCTGATCATTTAGCAAGTTGTGCAATGGACGCACAATCTTCGCAAAGTCTTTCACGAAGCGCCTAGAGTAGCTTGCATGACCCAGGAATCTCCGTAGATCCTTAACACTCTCTGGAACAGGCCAATTCTTCAGGACTTGTATTCTTGTTTCATCAGGTTGAATGCCTTTTTCTGATATGTGATAGCCAAGATAAGTTACTTCTGTCTGGAAGAATGTACACTTTTCCATTTTTAATTTCAGATTGTTCTGAATCAAGATACGGAACACATTTTCTAGTCTTGATATATGGTCAGTGACATTCCTCGAGAAACAGATTATGTCATCCAGGTATACCAGAAGACTCTTGAAGACTTCATTCGTGAATACTGTCTGCATTAGGCGCTGATACGTGGCTGGACTGTTGGTTAAACCAAAGGCCATACGTGGATATTCATAAAGGCCAAATGGGGTAGTGAAGGCTGTTTTCGGAATATCCTGTTCGGCCACCTTTACTTGATGGTAAGCATTGTCAAGGTCGCAGGTGGAAAAGATCTTAGCGTCCTTGAGTGCATCCAGAGATTCCTCAATGCGTGGTAGTGGATAACTATCCTTCACGGTATTCCGGTTCAATTGGCGAAAATCCACACAGAGCCTAATCTTCCCATCTTTTTTCCTGACCAATACTATGGGGCTGGCATAAGGGCTGTTGCTTGGCTGAATTATCTTTTTGTCGAGTAACTTCTGGAGGTGGTCTTGAACCTCTTGGCACAAATGTGGAGGTATTCTTCTGTACGGCTGTTTAATCCTTTTAGTAGGGTCAATTAGGTGTATTTCATGTTCTACTGTGTCTGTGTACCCGAAGTCCTCATCATCTTTGGCGAATGCGTCTTTATTTTTGTAGAACATTTCTCTTGTTAATTCTTTTTCAGCTTCGGTTCCAGGAAAATTTTTGAGGTTTTCTTCAACAAATTCCCCAAACTTATCAGGTGTTTCCATACTTCCTGTGGTGTTGAGTTCGAAGCAGTTTTCTTCTTCGGAAAAGTATACTCTATACTGGCTGTCATTTTCCTGCTGGGCTTTATCTATTGTCCCAATAGGTGTCTTTCTTCTAAGTGTTACTCCTGCCTTGGATACATTGGCAATCCTGAGCCACTTCTCATCTTTCGAGCCATCAATCAGACCTGGTGTTACTTGTAGGTTCCCTGGTAGAGGTTTCTCTGTCGGTTCAACTATTCCCAAGTCTTGAAAGTCTCCTGTGGTCACTTGAATATGTAGGCAGGATCCGGCAGGAATGAAGGCATCTTTGATTATTCTGACATGGTGTTCCCTGTTAGGTTCTGGTTCAACTTTAGGAATAGTAAACTTGTATTTCTCTACATGTTGAAGAACATTACAACCAACAAGGCATTCTGGTTTCGCTCCCTCCTTCTCATGGACTATCACTCCAACATTCTCTATCAGCTGTTCCTCAATCAGAATATTTACCACCATGAAACCTAGATATGGCACTTCCTGATTATTTGCTGCTCTTATTCTGCACCACTTATTTTGCTCAAGTTTTTTATGTGAAAAATTCTTATTGAACAATTCTTTGGACATCAATGTTACGGTGCTTCCTGAATCAATAGTAGCATTAAGTTTAACACCATCGATTTCAACTGATCTTTGTGGACTTTCTCCCACCATTTTACACATTGGCACACTTGTCTCTTGGAATTTAACACTGTCTGTTGATCTTGTGGTTTCCTTTTGTTCATTTGCTACTTGATGTTCTTTATTCTCATTCACATTCTGCTCTGTGTGGTCTTTTAAGTTATTTTCCCCAGTGCCACAGTCCTGGGTATATACTAGTTTTTTGGCTCCGTTGGAGGATTATGTGTGTCTCTGTAGCTGTTTCGGTTTCCCCATTGGTTGGCTCTTCCATCATTATTCTGGTAATCTGTGTTTGGTGATCCTATACCTCTCGGGTACCCAGACTCTCTGTCACGATAGAAGTAGTTTCTATTTGCATATGTATTTGAGTAGCCTCTACCTCTCCTAGTTTGTGGATTGTAGAAATTGTGATTTTCATTTTGATCGAGCTGATAGTTGTTCCAGTGATTTCGACTATGGTAACTGTTGTGATAGGCTCCTCTACCTCTTCTGTTGGGAAAGTTTCTTTGGTTGTCGGATGTTGCGGAGGTAAAGGCAGATTGTACTTCTTTTTGTACTTGTTTTTGAATCAGGTCTTCTATGGCTTTTGATTCTGGAGAGGAAGTCTTTATTGGTTCCTGTTTGGTTTCGGTTATTGGTCTCATCTTTATTCGTTCTTCAATCATGAAAGCTTCCTCTCTCAGGGCAGTGAAAGTGATGTTTGGACGTTCTTTCAGCTTGTTGTGAAGCATGAGGCGCATCATCTCTGAAGACACTCCACTGGCGAATTGGGTCTTCATTAGTTTCGAAGTGTCCTCCATTCCCAGGAAATCATCGTTGGTGTTCTGAAGTTGTTCTTGTTGTGTCATTAATCTTTGACTATAGCTTTTGATGTCTTCAGTACTCTGTTGCTTTGTGTTCAAGAACTCTTGTAGTGCCGTGTGTTTGGTCTGGTGTCCACCATAAACTCGTTTCAAAGTTGTGAAGATTTCCTCTGGGTAAGCATTATCACCAAGGTGCCGGACTTCCTTTTTTGGCATTCCCTCCAGATTCATCATTATGTAGTCATAGATATCCTCTTTGCGAACTTTTTTAATAGCTCTCTTGGCATCATCGATCCATTCATTGACATCTTGGTCAGCTTTACCACTGAATTTACTGATTTTTGGCTCTTTCCTGTAGACCTCTTGATGTGGAGCTTTCGGAGTAGATGTCCTGGCTTCCTGTGTCAGATCAAATGTTACTTCATGATTATCTTGTGCCAGCGATTTTTCCTGTTTCTGCAGCAACATTGATCTATAGTGCTCCTCCATCTGTTTGTACTCCTGGTCCTTATCTCTAAGTTGTTTTTCGAGCTCTAGCAGCTGTTCGCGAAGATGTCTATCTGCGATTGTAGGTCGTTTGGTGATTCTACTTGGCCTGTTCATTTGCAGTTCATCTGTGAATTTTAGTGGTGGTTGTGTTGTAAGTGTTGACATCTTTTCAATCAAGTCATCAGCTTGCATGGATGTTTCATGGTAATTTACATGTCTTTCCCTGGTTTCAGGTATCTCATCGGAATATCCGGTTGCCATGTTGTGCGCGACGTAATAAAACTATAGAATGAAATACTAGATGGCTAACGCACCAACACACTTAGTTGTAACGTTAAATGAAAAAAAAAAAAAAAAAAAAAAAAAAAAAAAAAAAATTACCGCCGGCGCGTGCTATATATACAACTATTTTCAACTATTTATGTATACACCATATATATATGAACCATCTATGTAATGATCATACGATGTTAATTAAATGTACTCAATATATCATTAAGTGTTTTAATATCAATATTGTTTACCACCCTGTACTTAGTTATAGTGTATCACCCTGTACTTAGTTATAGTGTAACACCCTGTAGTTATTCATATACAATGCTATGGCATAACACTCTGTATTTGTAGGGAACAATATTGTGTATCACCCTGTAGTTATTTATTGACAGTGTCTTGGCATACCACAGTCTATTTATTAAAATTGAGTGCTGTAGTGTACTTATTTACAGATAACGCTTCATCACAATATTGTTCTATTTATTTATAGAGAGCGCTACAGTATACCACCATACACTTATAATGACTGTGAAACCGTTTTATTAGGGTAATGTTAACAATTATATAATGTGTATCCTTCCAGAAAAATTTTTGGGAGGATAAAATCTAAACCTTTGTTCACCCTGTACTATTATACACTTACTTGATGAATGCAGCTATTCTAACTAACACACTTTAACTAACCAAATGGCTATAATACCCGAAATACTGCCTTGGGATAGGTATTCATATAACCTTAGTTGCAGGGAAATAACACACCCTAGGATCGATAGAATTTGAGTATATAAAAAAACTGATAACACTGTTCATTTATCATGGATATAACCTTTGAATACTGATGATGGTGTTTGGAGTTGGGACTTCTTCCTGTTATAGCTGGTTGTTGATTGATTGTTTATGGCTTTCATCAGTAGTTTATTGTCAATACATGTGTTGTTAGCGTAGTGACGACGTGATTGTGGCGTTGTGACGACGAAGTTATGGCGTTGTGAAGACGTGGTTGTGGCGTTGTGATGAGGTTGTTGTGATGTTGTGACGACGAAGTGACGACATCTGACACCAAATGTGACCGGGGGCAAGGTCGACGTGGGTTTATATTAGCAAAATAAGCACAAACGCAACAGTATATATGTTTATCAGTCAAATGGGTATATTCATTTCAATCACATCACAACAACGGGGAGTTGGAGTTCCCCTCGTGGACTATTATACTAAGCGAGTCAGCGACTGAAGGTTGTCACAATATTGTGGGTCACTCAGTATAATGGTCCCTAGGGGATGAGGTTATGAGCCCACTGGCTAAGCATGGTACAGTAGATAACGTGTCACTCCAGTTGTCCTGCTTGGACAGTCTCAGCCAGTGAACTGAGCTTTACAGATGAAAACTACAAATCACTGCCACAGCAGGGTTTGAAAATACATAGTCAATACAAAAATACAATGGGCTAAAAATAGCTTGTACATAGAAAGTACCTATTGAAATAGAAAATTGAACCCTAAAGTGAGGTTGAGAACAGTTGTATGGCTCACTTAATTCACTAAATAACTTGTAAGCTAAACCTTAGTACAGGGTGTCTAACAAGCCTGTTACACAATGTCCATGTATTTCACTTACAAAAACCATTAAATCAAAGTTATTTTAGGTTGAAGAATTTTTTCCCCCTGATAGGGGTGAATTGGGGGGTAGGGGGACTAACATGGTATGTAAAGGGTTAAATAATCATATTTCAGCTTGCCAACATGGTTTTTTGGATTCAGCATAAAAAGTTACATAAGAAACACTTGTCAGAACACTTTTAACACTAAACGCCTACCACATTTCCTCTAGATGAAAATGCACCTTGTCTAAAACTCAAGAATGCTTTCTTGACTCATAATCACAAAAAAGTCGAGTGACATTTTAGATGGAGAATTTCTTAGATGGGTATGCCTACATGTACGTTGATTCCTTTTTTATGTTGGATTAAAAATGATTCGATTGGAGTGAGTTAGGGATAAGGCATTTTTGAACCTAGACTTTGAATGTCTAGACCTTATTGACAAGTCACAAAATCTAAAAAAATTGAATGTTGAAAAAGTCCATACAGAAAATAAATGCTTTGATTTAGAGCTTTCGGGTGCCTTGATTTCTGTATTCTACTCATCATTTTATTACTTGACATACTTTTCATGCGATTCACTTCTACAATTTGTCAAAGTACTGTTAAAATTCTTAAAATTCACTTACTTGCGATGTGAACGAAAGTACACATTTGAAGGGAACAGGCGCCATTTTAAAATTTGCCGCGAAACGGCTGTTCTTTTAAGAGTGAAGGCCAAAATAGCTTTCTTTATAGAAACATTCACTTGTACAAGAAACGTACACTCAGATAAATATATGACAAATTCATAATTTTTATCAATGTTTGGAAAATGAGGTATTTTATTTTCACTGTTTATCATAAATAAAAAAGAAATGTAACAATATTTAATTTTTCAGGGGAGTAAATGTTCTTGATGGAACTCATGTCATCAAAAAACCCGCCCTCCCTACGGGGTTTGAACATGTGATTTTCTGGATTAGACTACATGAATTAATAAATTAAAAAAGTCTGCTCTGTATGTGAACATGGGATGATGTTGAACCCTTTCCAGTGGACTGAGGCCTGTTTTCTTCAAAATTAAACCTAAAAATTAAGGCCTTAAAAGGACCAGTAATGACCAAAAAGGCTCACTTTTGTGGCACCGGGGGTTCACTCCAAATAATTTTGGTAGTGCAGCACGGCCAATTTTGGTTTTAAGCATAAAACATGGACATTCTGATACAAACAAACAAAACGAACATTGCCAATTTGATAGGAAAAAACATGGAAAAGTGTCTAATAGTGTACCCTTTTTAAATCAAAATTCAGTTTTTCTACAGAAAATTGTATTAAATTCATTAATCCTTTGCTGGGACCTGGAACAAATCACTAGAGAAGTTGATTTTTTAGTCATTTATTAGTCTCAGAGGAATTAAACACATGGAAACCTTCAATCTTGAGAAGAAATTGACATGGAAAAAATGCTCAAAAAGGGGGGTCTTTGGGGCAGCACAAAGGTAGTGTGAAACCCCCAGGCTTTGGCCCAAATTTTTTTTAAGCCAAATGCAGGGATGGAAGGATACAGAGTTTATTTCACACAGTGCCATAGAGACAACAATCAATTAAATTATCATCCAAACGAGTACCTCTGTGCATATGTTTCTTACTAAAACAGACAAATAATCACATTTTTTTTATATTTTTGAAATATTTATTTCACTTAAGCACTGGACTACAGGCCAATATACTGTATACAAAATCTACACATATTCAATATTGTAGTAATATCACACAACATGTATACAAAATCTACACATATTGTATTAATATCAGACAACATAACAAAATTATTGCTTTAACAATTTTTCACAATCATTATCCTGACTTTATTTTGTACTAAAACTAAAATACTTAACATGTAGAATATAACCTTTGTAAATTCATATTGTTTCAGTACTGTATATCAAAAATTTATATAAATTCTATGCAATCTCAAAATAGCTTACTAAAAATTAAATTATGCCAAAATCAAGACAAGATATTATATTTCAATTATGGCATAAGATTATGAAAACACATTTTTAAATTCATATTGTTTCAGTACTGTATATCAAAAATTTATATAAATTCTATGCAATCTCAAAATACCTTACTAAAAATTAAATTATGCCAAAATCAAGACAAGATATTATATTTCAATTATGGCATAAGATTATGAAAACACATTTACTTTAAAAATTTTAAATCTTAGTAAACCTATCTCTACATTTGTTACTTATAAACTTATATACTTCTAAATGACTTCTTTAACACCAGGTATTTTATTGTCTGATCAACATACTAGTAAGTTACTAGTTTGTGCTATAACTTGTGTTAGTTTAATTGGTACCATTTAATTATGAAAATATGGAATTTAGCATTTTAAAATCGGCATTTTTAAATTTTGAATTTCTTAGGCTAATATTCCAAAGGAGATAACCGAATGAATAATAAAAAAATGAACTGGACAAAAAAATAAAAATGTCAAATAAAACTAGCACCAAATTATGACCAGCTACAGAAAACCTAACTAGTTACTAGTGTTACATTCAAAATGATAATTGGTGAATTTGGCAGATTGCCCATGTTTACAATATTTAGCGCCATGGGGAGCAAGGCACCACTCCCTCTTATATTCTGTAGCCTATATTAGACAATATTAGAGGGGGGGGGGGATGACTCACTCCCTGTGGCTGTGTTTAGCGCCAATACAATTTTTTTAAATGATGAAACAAACGTGACACACTAAACAGAATAACACTGGGAATTTCAATCTTATACTAAAGAGGCAGATCACCAAAATAATGCCTCACCAAATAAAGCCTCACCAAATCAACCCAGTGTACTGTATCTACTCTAGGGATGAACCTATTGACATAGACCCCATATACCTGGCTAAACCGCTGGTATCCAATGCTTTTATTAGAAAATATACTGTAACAATATAATACTGTCGGCATTTTATGCTTTACAGTCACATCACAACCTTCACTTCACTTGTACAACTCTCTACCTAGTAACGAGCTTACTCATGAACATATTGTAAAACATTGTTTAGAGAAGATCGTACCACACACAAGTAAGCTCGTTACCATAAGTAGGGAGTGTGTACATGGTGAATTGTTAATTTGAAAAATCTTCAGTTTTGAGGCCCAAAGGAATATCATAATATTCCTAGCAACATTTGTTAATCGTACAAAAATTGTAACAAATTATATACATGGCGCAAGTTAGTACCCCTCAGTTCAGTACCACTAGAGGGATTCAAGTTCAGTAATGGAAATCACGGTAACAAAGCAAATAATAAAGGGTGGTCAAAAAATGGAAACCCTGCATTTTCTTCATATCTTTGTCATTTTCAGACTCCCTGATATTCCACACATTTGTACATCATTCAATTTCCTACCATCCTACCATATGTCATGCGCATCAGACTGACAGTCACAATTTTACGGCACTTTGAATAACATTCTTCATATGCAGGTTTCCCTACAGTGCAAGAGGGGCAACTGGGGCATGTTCCTTGCTGTAACATTGTGACTATCGATCTGATGGCCAAGAAATAAGGTAGGCTGGTAGGAAATTGAATGATGTACAAATGTGTAAAAGGGAGTTATCTTTTAAAATGACAAAAATATGAGGAAAATTGTGCAAGGGTTTCCATTTTTTGACCACCCTGTATAATGTATATTCATTTTCACTCCTTTTGGGAAAAACATAATCACTCATTAACTGGAATTAATTATAAATTGAATTTATATAATCAACAGGTTTAAAAAATTCATCATATATTTTATCTTAACACTATTAACATTTAACAATCCATACTTTTTATAAACATCACAATAACATAATTGTAACTCTGGTATCAATTTTGATACTGTAAAACTGTCATACTGTAACTCTGGTATCCATTTTGATACTGTAAAACTGTCATACTGTAACGATACTGTAAAACTGTAATGCTGTAAAAATTTTATTGCTACATATGGAATTTTGTGATATTGCTCAATACAGATTTTGTATCCATAAACTTTTATCTTCTTTAAAGACAATTTTGTAAGATGTTCAAGTTTTAAAAATTTGTATTTATTTCACAGAACAAAAGTGTGTAAATAATACTAAATATCACAAAATATTTTCTCAACATAATTGCCACATTCATTTCTTCAATAAACATGTACTAATTGTTGGTGAATGCTCTACACTTTGAAAACTGTGAAATAAACATACACAAATAAGTATAACCACCAGAGTTACAGAATTTAGACTAAAACCTTTTTGTGTGTAAAAGTTAAAACAGTTGTTGATTACTTTTACACCATTATTTGATATCATTACTTGTGCATTTCTTTATTTCAGTTTTGAGAGAACTCTTAAACTGAAACTACAATTTTATTTAATCTCATCTCCCTCATCTTCACTCTCCCTCATTTATTCTCCCTTAAGTTCTCCCTTATTTGTTGAATTCTCCCTTGTTCAATTTACCTTGTTTTTGATTCTTGCTCATTTTTGTCCCTAATGTTTCTCATTCTACCTGAGAAGACATAATTTTTCTCAGCTATTTGATAGAGTATCACATGTGTGTTATATGTTTGAGAGTCAGGCAAATTTCAGATTACACATTCAGCTAATACCCTGAAATCTATGGTGCCTGTCTTAAAGGTTTCCATAAAGGCTTGTACATGTAACATTTCCTTAAAGAATTGCGCATGTCACCTTTCCTTAAAGAATTGGGTATGTTGCATTTCCTTAATGAATTGCACGTGTAACATTTTCTTTAAGAATTGCATGTGTAACATTTTCTTTAAGAATTGCGCATGTTACATTTCCTTAAAGATTTGTGCATGTCACATTTCGTTAAAGAATTGCACATGTAATTTCCTTAAAGGCTTACACAATCATGTCACATTCCTTAAAGGCGTTTACCCGTAATGTTTCCTTGGTGGCTAACATGCTTTAGATTGCCTTAAAGGCTTATCCTTGTTAGATTGCACATTTCAACTGAATGTTCACATTTTTAATAAGAGAGGAACATTATGAGAAACTTTTCATTTTTTAGAGAAGTACTCTCAAATTACATCTAGTCTTTGTTACCCCTTTACTCCTTTAGTGCAGTAATATACTATTCCTTGTTCAGCATATGGTGATCTACCACACGTCCATTTCTTCAGGGTTATAGCTGCTCTCGTAAATGTTAAGTTCTCTGAATGAAACATAATTCTTTAATGGGCGTGGTATATCCATTTTGTCAATCAAACTTGGCACATTAGATCCTCGTTTCTGAATCAATGGTTTCCTTATATGGTATCGACAGAGTTCCGCCAAAGTCCATGATGATGACATTTTTTCGTGAATCGCCACAAATAATTGTTTGAGATGTATGTTATTGGCAATGAAATTCTGGGGCACATATCCCATTGAAATCAGTTCTTTGATAATACGTGGTGGACATCGGACATATGTCAACATTTCCAAAATGGCCGTCCTCTTATGCCAAACGTCATTCCCGAGATTATCATCTCCAATACTTTGTGAATCGAAATGAAGTAAATCCAGTCTAGAGTTGGCTTGAATCAGCGCACGGGCCGCTCGTATTGACACATTTTTACATATCATCGCCTTTTGGAGGGGAATCTCTCCACAGTTATCCATTATATTTGGATCAGCCCCAGATTGGAGTAAATGTTCCAGACAGTTGGAGTACCCTAAGGACGCGCACCAGTGTAATGCCGTCCATTGTTTATGACTAGTCGCATTAACATTGCTTGTTACTGGAAGTAGCACCTTTAACATATCAACCTGTAACAGAAAGCAAAATAAAGCAAGGTGACACCACAATAGTGTGCAAAATTAAAGAACAAATCATTAAGAGGACTGCTGAAGTGAATGCCAGATCCTGGATGCCAGACACCAACCGCCATCACAGAAATGGTGACCATAACAATATGTCACAATATGGTGGTGCGGATATTACATCACAATAGTGTCAACTTAAAACGTGACAAAACAATGAGGTCTCAAACTGCGATATGACATCTCATTAGTGTCAACTTGAAACATGACATCCGAACGAGGAGTCAACCTGCAATGTGACATCATAATGAAGTACGATCTTGCAATATGACATCATAATGAAGTGTGACCCTGCAAAATGACATCACACAAAATGTCTGAATGCCTGCATGAATTAGTTTCTCAATGTTAGGAAATTATATACATGAAAAAAGAATATAAAACTAAATCCTAAGAAACTCACCTGACCTCCCATCGAGGCGTAAATCAACGGCATATTTCCCGCTGCATTTTTCTGATCAGGGTTAGCGCCCTCTTTTAGCAACATCCTGACTTCATTTACGTCCCCACCACAGACTGCTCTGGTCAGTTCTGTCCAGCCGTAGAGATCCATCTTAAAAGTTCATCTAATCTGGAAATATATTGTTAAATTGAATTATTCATAATGCTGGAACGTACAATTTAGAGTTACTGTACTGTAGTCCATACTTGCTAAGGTTCTTGGTACTGTTAGTTAACATGCACACTGTGAAAAAAGCCAAATATAGTTTGTACTATAGCAAACTATTTTTTAGAATAACCCCCATATAGTTTGAATTTCACCTAAAATATGGGCGAGAATAGTTTCTCCCATATTCCTAAAAACGGAACACTTTAATATAAGTCCTGATATACTCTCCGGTACGCCCATATAAACTAAAATAAGTTGCATATATCATTGCAGAGTGTATATCTTTGCTGAACTATTTTCCACTTATACGCCTCAAAGTAGGAATCAAACCTACTATATGCGGTGAAAAACAACTTATATTAAATAAAAACAGACTATATGAAACTATACTTGACTTATTCTTCTCTTATTCTACCTCAAAACAAACTATACGCGTCTTATACGCAATATTACGTAATAGCTTCAGTTCCCGAGTTTGTTGTTTTAACAGATTAAAAGCAAAATCCAGCACTGAATGTATTTTGTTTTCAATGCTAATTAATTTGCTTTTTCAGATTAATCTGGTCATTTCTATAACTGAGGGTTCTAATTTCCATCAAAAAGTCATTTATAAATTAAGCTTTTTACTTTTACTAAATTGGACAATGACAGTCGAATTATAATTAACACCGTGTTAAATTTTGGATTCATTTCATTAAGTCTGTGGAAAGTTACATTTTTCAATTCACTAGGTATTGAAGTAAAAATAATATAGAATAAAATGTTTAATATAGTTGCAATAAGAGGGAATCGTAGAGAATATTTTTTCCTGTATGGTAGGCAGTTATTTCCTGTATTATAGCGGAATAAGGTATAATAACTATTTTTAAAAATTAATTTTTCTTTAATAATATTATTTGTGTATTATTATTTGAAGGGAACGACATATAATTCCATATAATATAGAATAATATTCTAGTCAGGAGCAAACAATATGTTGGCATTTGCAATCAAAACCGGATTATATGCGTTTATTTTTGAGCCGTTAATCCCTAAGTATTCCATTCCTATGAAATGAGTTTCGTTCACACTAATTAATCCGTTTGTTAGGATTAATTTCTACAGCTGATGGTTCTTATTTCTCAAAAAATTATTTGCAAATTAAGTTTTTACATACATTTATTTATTTGATTGTATAATGTCCCTCGAGTTATGATTAAGATTGTGTTAAATTTGGGATTCAATCGATCAATCCATTGGAAAGTTAATTTTTTATTCTTAATTAATGAGTTTTCCTCACATTTCTACTCTATTGTTTCTCTGTCACATCAGGTTTACAACAAACAACATTTAAATCCCCCTCTTACACAGGTACGAACAACCACCTGTACTATTCACTTTGCCAACCAAAAACAGTCATGACACGGATCTGCTCAATATTCAATTAATATATTACGCATTTTATACAAGCCCGTGCCTAAGGACCCCCTTCCCTTGGCCAACAATTCTTTAAAGAAATGCAGTTTTCACCATTCACATACATGTATTGACATGTCAGAGGAATGTAATTGGTAAAACTTTAATCCCTAAGTGTCAATTTCTATGAATTGAGTTTTGTTCACCCTGATAAATAATCTGTTTGTTAGAGTAAATGGATTAATTTCTTCAGCCTATGGCTCTAAGTTCCACAAAAAATACAAATTAAGTTTTTCATATTTATTTGATTGTATAGTGTATCTCGTGCTATGATTAACATTGTGTTAAAATTTGGATTCAATCGATTAACTCATTGGGAAGTAATTTTTTCTTGATTTTTAATTATGGGGTGTCCTCACAATTTAACTCCATTGTTTCTCTGTAACATTAAGTTTAATACAACAAACAAAATTTAAAGCCCTCTCTTACACAGACACAAACAAACACCACTATTCACATCGCAAACCACACACAACGTTTATAACACAAAATTGCAAAAACATTCAGCTCAATACATTACGCATTTGATACAGGTCTGTGGCCATGGGGGAGGGTCGTTGGGTTCATGTGAATCCCCCAACCCCTTGCCAAGATTCTTTCAAAATCATACAGTTTTCACCAATCTGAGCACTGTCAAGTGATTTTTGGCCAACATTATCAATTTGGCCCCCCTGGGTACGTTTTGAAAATTGACCCCCTGAGCTCAAACTTATTATGAGCCTGTAATATACCAGAAATATTGCTCAGATTTTATCTGACAAATCACTTATAATAAATTAGGAAATAACATGCTTTATGTACATGATACAAGTAGTATTAAGCCATATTAAAACAAAGTTAAAACTTGTATTCTTTCACATTTCACAATTCATGTGTTTTCTGTTATCCATATGATATCTGAGATAAACACCCGTGATAAACAACAGAGATTAGCCCGTGCAATACAATTGTTTCTATTAGAATTGGACCATTTCTTTTTAAAACAGCTGGTTTTATCAATCTTTGTTTTCCGTTTCAATATATACAGTACATATACAAAAGGTGCAAGATTCGGTATGTTTAGTTGATAATGTTATAATGCAAATAAAGAAACGGGCGCATTTTACATTTATTGCAAATGTTTCATCTGACAAATTGATGATTATGTTTTGAGCAAATTGGTGCATGGAAGAACAAACTGATGCAAATAACATACAGTATGGACATACAGCTATGTCAGAGCAATATGATAAGTAAGACTTTAATCCCTAATTATTCTATTTCTATAAAATGAGTTTCGTTAACACTGATAACTAATCTGTTTGTTAGAGTCAATGGATTAATTTCCTACAGCCAACGATTCTAAGTTCCACAAAAAATAATTTGTAAATTAAGTTTTTTTTTATTTATTTGATTGTATATTATCCCCCATGTTATGATTAACATTGTGTTCAAATTTGGATTCAATCGATCAATTCATTGGAAAATTAATTTTTTAATTCTTAAGTAATAAGTTTTCCTCACATGTTTACTCTATTGTTTCTCTGTCACATCAAGGTTACAATAAACGACATTTAAATCCCCCTCTTATATTACATAGGCACAACCACCTGTATTCACTTTGTCAACGACAAAAAAACAGTCTTGGCACAGAAATGCTCAATATTCAGCTAAATACATTACGCATTTTATACAGACCCGTACCTAGCGACCCCCTCCCCTTGGCCAACAATTCTTTAAAGATTATGCAGTTTTTCACCATCTCGTACATGTATTGACATGTCAGAGCAATATAAATAAAACTTTAATCCCCAAGTATTTAATTTCTGTGACATGAGTTTTGTTCACTGTCAACTAATCCGTTTGTTATGAATTAAAGGATTAATATCTACAGCCGATGGTTCTGATTTCCACAGCAAAAATAATTTGCAAATTAAGTTTTTCTAATTTATTTGATTCTTTAGTGTCCCTCTTGCTATGATTAATATTGTGTTAAAATTTGGAATTAATCGATTAACTCATTGAAAAGTTAATTTTTTGATTTTTAATAAATGACTTTTCTTCACCTTTAATCCACAGTTTTTACCCAAATGTCGAAAGAAACAGTGAAAGGTTAAACTAGGCTCATGAGTGTTTCAATTTGAGACATAGTATGTGATGTGCTCGAGGTACATCAGTATATTAAAAAGTTCAATTTGGCGCATTAGTATAGTTCAAGTTGGCGCATCATTTATGATGTTCAAAGTACATCCTTACAGTGAAAGATCAAGCTTGGCTCATGAGTATGTTTCAATTTGGGGCATAGGATGTCATGTGCTCCAAGTACATCAGTATTTTAAAAAGTTCAATTTGGCAAGTTAGTATAGATCATTTTGGCGCGCTATTTATTATGTTCAAAGTTCATCCTTGTATTGAAAGGTTAAACTTGGCTTATGTGTATGTTTCAATTTGGGAATACATCAATATATTGAAAGGTTAAACTTGGCTCATGAGTATGTTTCAATTTGGGACATAGCATGTTATATGCTCTAAGTTCGTTAGTATATTAAAAAGTTCAATTTGGCGCATTATCATAGTTCATTTTGACGCATTATTCATGATGTTCAAAGTACATCCTTACATTGAAAGGTTAAACTTGGCTCATGAGTATGTTTCAATGGGACATAGTATGTGATGTGCTTCAAGTTCATCAGTATATTAAAAAGTTCAATTTGGCGCATTATCATAGTTCAATTTGGCGCGTTATTTATGATGTTCAAAGTACATCCATACATTGAAAGATTAAACTTGGCTCATGAGTATGTTTCAATGGGACATAGTATGTGATGTGCTCCAAGTTAATCGGTATATTAAATAGTTCAATTTGGCGCATTATCATAATTCAATTTGACGCGTTATTTATGATGTTCAAAGTACATCCTTACATTGAAAGGTTAAACTTGGCTCATGAGTATGTTTCGATTTGGGACATAGTATGTGATGTGCTGTTAGTTCATCCATATATTAAAAAGTTCAATTTGGCGCATTATCATAATTCAATTTGACGCGTTATTTATGATGTTCAAAGTACATCCTTACATTGAAAGGTTAAACTAGGCTCATGAGTATGTTTCGATTTGGGACATAGTATGTGATGTGCTGTTAGTTCATCAGTATATTAAAAAGTTCAATTTGGCGCATTAGTAAAGTTCAATTTGGCGCATTATTTATGATGTTCAAAGTACATCCTTACATTGAACTGTTAAACTTGGCTCATGAGTATGTTTCAATTTGGACATAGTATATTATATGCTCTAAGTTCGTCAGTATATTAAAAAGTTCAATTTGGCGCATTATCATAGTTCAATGTGATGCGTTATTCATGATGTTCAAAGTACATCCTTACATTGAAAGGTTAAACTTGGCTCATGAGTATGTTTCAATGGGACATAGTATGTGATATGCTCCAAGTTCATCAGTATATTCAAAAGTTCAATTTGGCGCATTACTATAGTTCAATTTGGCGCGTTTTCTATGATGTTCAAAGT